ACCCTCAAATGTCGCACTTGCAAGCGCGCAGGCGCGAGCGACGGGTGACGTCGAGACTCAGAACATGCTCGACCTGCTGGCTAGGGCGCAGCTGGTCGGAGCGGGCAACCTTCCATCCATGGACCAGTCCCTCGTCGGTCCTCTGACGGGGCCCCCGCAAGTTTCGGGGGAGAACCTGTTCGATGCGAATTTCGTCCCGCGAACATCGAGCCCCGAGCCTCTGCGGTCACCGAGCACGTCTCCTACGGCCACCCATTTCAAGACACCTTTCTCTAGAGAAGACAATTCAAAGAAAACCACACAAGGTGAGACACAAAAACCCCCGCGGGCGAGACCGAATCGGAAAACTCGAGCAGAACGCCAACAAACGAGAGCGGAACGACGGCCAAATCGTCTCCGCCGCCGTCCCGGAGACTCAGCTTGAAGCGGACACTGACGGATACGCTCCCGGTCTCGGTCCACCAACAGCTCATCGACACCATGGCGCAACCGTACCTGGCAAATCAGGAAATGGTTACATCCCCCACAACCGCACATCCCTTGTCAGGGACCATGCCAAACGCACTCGGGCCGGCCGTCCATGGGCATTCGACGAGATGGGTTCCGGCAGCGCAGGCCATCTTCACCACGGAGTCCAAGCCGCCATGGACGATCATTGCAGCCAACGATCTCGCCTGCTTGGTTTTCGGTGTCACCAAGGCAGAGGTCCGGAAGATGGGCATTCTGGAGGTGGTTCAAGAGGAACGGAGGGCTTGGTTGGAAAAGAAACTCTTGCAAATGGATCCCGAGGATACCATCAAAGAGGCGGAAGACATCCCACAGACGACGGTACATCCACCGACTCCTTCCACATCCTCGCTTCTGGGTGGGCGAGGTGGAATCACCGCCCAATTGCTGAGCAAGCCTAACTCGCGATCGCAGCCACCGAAAGCCGTTGCACGGAAAGCTCAAACCGTCCACAGTGGAGACCCGAACCCACCCAAACTTAGAGGAACTTCGCGGCACCAAAGCAGTCGATCCAGGGGTGTTCTCTTGTGCGGTGACGTCGTTCCAATCCAGAAGCGAAACGGTGCCACGGGTTCCGCAAGTCTCTGGGTAAAAGAGAAGCGGATCGGTCTCATTTGGGTCCTGGAGGAAATCCACGAAGACGTTGCTCAAATCGAACTCGACGACGAAGGCATCATCCAAAAGATTTCTGGCGCCACAGCGCCGATTTGGGGCTTTGAGTCACTGCAGTCCGGAGTCGATGTCGGCAAGCTGATACCACGCATTCCTCGGCAAGGCATCGACCCTCGCACCGGCGAGGTGGACTTTGCGCAGATTGCCAAGCGTAGGTACTTCACATGCCCGAACCCAGCCAAAGTCAACATTCCCTGCACTGTCGAGCAGGTTCGGGGCAAGACAGAACTGCGCGTCTCGAGCTTTCCACACATCGCAGGGATCATCGTAGTGGACCCCGAGACTCTGAAGATCCAAAGCTCCAACTCGGTCTTCTGCGGTGCGCTGTTTGGGTATGAAAAGCCCGACGGCATGGCCATTGACTCGTTGGTCCCCGATTTCGAGAAGATCCTCCATATCTTGACGGAAGAGGACGGCGTACAACTGCAGGACGGAATTGTGGTACCAGAACACAGCTTCCGCCGGGCGTCGGCGATTCTGGGTCTTCGAGAGAACCGCCCCGATGCCGCGGCTAGTTTCTTGCGGCCGGATGGGCTGCCGGGTAAGCACAGGGATGGTTCGGAGCTCAAGATCGACGTCCAGATGCGGGTGGTCAGGAGCGCAAAGCAATCCACGGTAATTCAAGAGACTGTCATTGAGGACGAAGACGAGGACAAGGGCGGGGAGAACCACGGCGACTCATTCTTGATCCCTCACTCTGAAGTGGTTTTTGCCCTTTGGATCACCTACTCCAGGCACATGCACGCTGCCAGGTCCACCCTCGGTGTGACGTCGGCATCCGCCTCTGGAACGACAACTCCCTTGCATCAGCCGTCGCCTGGGCAGACGCCCGCACACACGCCAATCGAGATTAGCTCGGATTCCGATGAACCCAAGCCTCGAGCGTCGTCGTCGACTGCGTCTGCCATCACCAAACAACTCAAAGAAGTCGCCATGACGGCTGCTGCGAAGTTGACTGGTGGATCGCGATCCGAGAAGAAGCAAGAGAAGGCCCCCGTACCACAAGTGATTGAGCCGGCTCAGCAGAAGAAGTCGATCGATGACTTCCAGATTATAGAGGACATGGGCCAGGGCGCCTACGGCCAGGTCAAGCTGGCCAAGTACAAGACGACGCAAAAGAAGGTGGTCTTGAAGTATGTGACGAAGCGGCGCATCTTGGTTGACACGTGGACGAGAGATCGCAAGCTAGGCACCGTGCCTCTGGAGATCCACGTCCTTGACTATCTGCGACGCCCCGACTTGCGACATCCGAACATTGTCGAGATGGAATCGTTTTTTGAGGATGACGTGAACTACTACATTGAGATGGTGCCCCACGGATTACCGGGCATGGATCTTTTCGACTACATTGAGCTTCGGAGCAACATGGAAGAGGCTGAGTGCCGGAGCATCTTCGTCCAGGTCGCCAAAGCCATCGGTCATCTTCACACGAAGGCGCTGGTAGTCCACAGGGACATCAAGGATGAGAACGTAATCCTCGACGGCGAGGGTCATATCAAGTTGATCGACTTTGGAAGTGCAGCGTACATCAAGAACGGCCCCTTCGACGTCTTCGTGGGCACAATTGGTTGGTCGAACCTTGCCTGTTTGTACTGAGGTGATAGACGCTAACCATGACACAGACTACGCTGCTCCGGAGGTGCTCGCAGGCAAGCCATATGGTGGCAAGGAACAAGACGTGTGGGCGCTTGGGATTCTGCTCTACACGATTATCTACAAGGAGAACCCATTCTACAGCATTGACGAGATCATGGACCGAGATCTGCGCGTCCCGTGGACGATGAGCGACGAGAGCATTGACCTGGTACGCCGCATGCTCGACCGGGACGTGGCTGCGAGGTACGACATCAACCAGGTTCTCGAGCATCCTTGGTGCCAGGAGGTTGATGAGGAGGACTGACGGAGAGCAATGACATGATGACGAAGGAGAAACGGGCATGAGGCATGGGAAGGGAGCTAGGCCCATTTGGGGCCACGGAGCAAATTTGGTCAAGATACCCTAAAGAGCAATCTTGAACAGCACGGCTTCTCGTTCGAGGGGGAGCCGGACGTGCTTAGAGAGAGCCATTTGACGCAACAAGACGTTTTCTTCTTCTTTTTCTCCTATAGTCCGTGTGATGACTTGAGCTGGTCTTTCAACATCGGGGTGCAAGACAAAACGAGCGTTTTCGAAAACAAGAAGAGGAAGAGGGGTGGGGAGACAACGAGCCCGGCTCGAATTCGACTGGCGACTCACTCGACTTGGGGCCGGGGAGCGGGCGGAAAGGCCCGTTTAGCACAGGGCTCTTATGGAGTTCTGTGCCGCGTCAGGTAAGTCAACGACGGAGGGGATCCATGGCGAGCTTGGGTTTTTCTTTCGGTTTGCGGGTTAGATTAGAGAGGAGACTGGCGTCGTGAACAGGGAATACAAAATATGAATCATTGCACCGTGTCTTGATCGTCTCCCCTTCGTGTTATCTAGGTGTATGAAGTTAGGATGATGAACGTCCCATCTCGGCAGCCGTACTCTGTCCTACGTATATATGTATGTGTGGACGTGAACTGGTGGGATTGGGTCTGTCGCTTTCCCCAACCGTACTTGGGACGCCGGCAGGATGACGTGATGGATGTGTAGACTTACTGACGATACTAACCCTGGAGCGATTCTACCGAGACGATCATTATGTAGGCTTTGCTATGTATTTCAGTATATAATAACTCGGGCCGAGGTGCAAGAGGGTGAATGGTCCGAGGGGATCGAAACCGGGGATCCCTTCGGGCAGTTTCAAGACTCATGATTTCCTACACATACAACGCGATCGACCGGAGTGCTTCCTTTAGCACACTCTAGTTGGACTCCATTCACCATTCGACACGATACTGGATCTTGCTGCGCAGACTGCTTCTGAACGAGGTTGGCAACCACCATGACAATTTGCCTCGTCCATTTGAGCATACTGCAAGAGTACAGGTACAAGAGAGCCAATAACTACCCAGTAAGCCATGAAAAGCCCCCGAGCTCAACACATGGTTTCTTTTTGCACTTATGGCAAAATCAGGAACACTTTGTTGTTGGTATCTGGCAGCTGTCTCGTATCAAGCTCAGACCCCTCAAGGCGCTTTTAGATACTTCGTGATGCAATCTAGAGCTGGATTGCCCATGACTTTTTTATTCAAACCCAAACTTGAGCCATTGCCAGACTCAATCAAACTTGCCAAGTCGGACCGTCAAACAAAAGGTGATCTCGTAATGGTGGAGGAGTCTTGAGCACCTCGTACGTGTCGACGCCCGACACTTTGACGGCTTCTTGGTGTCACGATATCTGCCGTGTGTATTCTTCAGGAGCTGGTGTGAGTATCTGTACCACTGAGGACGCCCACACCGAGAAAGATTTACAAACGTCAAAATGCAGGGACGAACACTCACTGGCAATGAGTGACATGACTGGCTTGTACTAGTGTATTGTGGCCGATGGCGGGGTACATTACTATTGAGCAGGCGGTCACAGGTTGCGATGTACCCCCGCAGCCCCACCCTGGCCCTTCACTGCTGCCCCTCCACTGCCTGTGTCCCAGGCCTGCTGCCAGACTCCCTTACCTCATCAGCGTATCTCACGCAGGGTACGTAACTGTGGTACTTTGGCTTGGCCCAAGCTTCCGCCATCGCCTAGTTCCTCTCCAGCCACCTTCAACTAACTACATTCCAATCGACCGCCAACCTGCTCGCGTTTCACTGTGTAAAGCTCTTTGAGTTTCAAAGTTTCGACCTGGGATGTCAGACCCGTTGCCTCTGTAGCGCTGCAGTCAATAGGCCCCTCAAACCACGGCCTTCTTGCTACGCGATGAGAACCCTCGATGAAGCCCAGTAAGTGCCGTGCGCGTGGCATCATCGCGAGCTCTGACATCATTTTCACTGGCTAATCTAACTCCCAGGACGCGATGGGCCGAGACATTGAAGAATGCCGGGAATTTCTCTGAGTTGCAAAATGCAGTCAGGTACAATGGGCCTTCGAGCCCATGCATCACGGGCTTCAGGTCGGTGTGCTGGAAGGTCGGTTTGAAGTCGAGGCCGTTGATGTTGTCTCAACGCCGAGCTGACGTTCGCTTCCCAGGCTTTCCTGCTCCTGCAAGACGTCGACCCCTCAGACTGGCTACGTCACGTCTCCGAGCTGCGCGGCTTTTACTCTCAGCGACGGGACCACTTTCTCAAGTTCATCAAGCACCCAGAGGAGCTGACCAAGGTGGCTGTTGACCCGCTGACCGACGACCCAAAGGTCCGTATCACGGAGCGTTTCCCTATGCCCGTGGTCTTGAGCTCACACCTTGCCGCAGTCGCCGTGGAACACTGTCCGCCAAGATGAGATCATCAGGGCGGAAATCGCGCAGGATGTTCGTCGCCTGCCAGACGAACCCTTCTATCACGAAGACCGAACGCAGACATTGATCATCGATGCGCTGTTTGTTTACTGCAAGCTGCACCCTAACAGCGGCGGCTACCGTCAGGGCATGCACGAGCTTCTGGCGCCGATAGCATATGTGATGAACCAAGACGCGCTTGATCGCGAAGCTATCACATCCAGCGGCCAGGAGGCTGATGAAACGATGCTTGGCATGCTTGACTCGTCTTTTATTGAACACGACACGTTTGCGTTGTTCTCCAAGATCATGGAGAAAGCCAAGTCGTTTTACGAAGTCAAAGATTCCATTTCAAAGGCGGCGTTGGCATCCGCGTCCAAGGATCGCGTGGAATCATCGGCCATTGTCGAGAAGAGCAAGTATATCCATGAGGTGTGCTTGGCAAAGGTTGACCCAGAGTTGGCCAACCACCTCAAAGATATTGAAATTCTGCCGCAGATCTTCTTGATGTAAGCATCTGTGACCCGTATGTTGTCGCCCGGTACTAACAGGATCGGCCCCTAGTCGATGGATCCGCCTTCTTTTCGGTCGCGAGTTTCCGTTCGGCGAGCTGCTTGTGCTTTGGGATACCCTTTTCGCGGTCGACCCGTCTCTAAGCTTGATAGACCTCATTTGCGTTGCGATGCTTCTCAGGATTCGTTGGAGTTGTGGGTTCTCGACAAGTACTTGTTTCACCTCTACTCTAGCTAACTCGTTGCAGTACTCGAGGCAGACTACTCCGTTTGCTTGCAGTTACTTCTCAAGTATCCCGCACCAGAGGTCCCTCATGGACCTCACACGTTCGTGGACGATGCCGTGTACTTGAGAACACATCTTAATGTCTCAGGGGGGGTCTCACTCCTCTTGAAATACACAGGGAAGATGCCAAGTACGACGCAGTCAGCGAGTAGTTCGCGGCCCACGACGCCAATGGGTCAGGCATTTTCGTCTTTTAGGAATCGAACCAAAGGTGGTCAATCGCCGATTCCTTCGGCAAGCAGATTCATCCAGCAACAGGGCGGGGTGGAGGCTCTATTCCAGGGTGCTGCAAAAAGCATGCTTGAGCGAAGCGAGAAGCTCGGTATCAACCAAGCCGTGCGTGATGCAATGGGCGATATCAGAAGAAACATGCAGGGCCTGAACGAAGTACGCTACACACCTCGCACAGCAAGACAGCTACTGGGAGACGACTCGGCGACACAGGCCATTGCTGCACTGGAGCAACGGAACAAACTGCTGGCAAACATGCTGGACGAGACGGTTACAAGCCTCAGATCTTTGGCCACTTCGAACCTCGACGACAAGGTTAAGACCCTGGAGCTTGTTGAGGTGGCAGCCGCCAAGGTCCAGTTCGTGAAAGTCTACCTAGAAGACCCCACGATCGAGGTCCCGGACTTGGAGGGCTTCACTAGTCCGCCTCCTGAAGAAGCGAGGGGAGAAATCTCGATGGACGTCGAGCCAGACGGCAAGGCTGCTCTACAGGCCGCTGCTGCCGCCGAAAATGTGGCAGGCGCCATCTCGACGCTGTCCCTGGCGGACCAAGGGAAAGTCAAATCGCCAGCTTCGACATCACCGCTCCCCGAGCAGATGGACACCACACAAGATGCACCCGCAGACAGACCTGCCGAGCATCCATCAGCGACGGTATCAATCCCGAAATTCGGAACCCTTCCCCCAAAGCCAAAGGAACGTCCTCAGCCGCCGATTCCGACGCGGTCAACCCTTGCCCAGTCGTCCTTCTCGTGGATGCTTGAGCCGGACCAATCGCCGCAGTCCGCATCGCCGCCGCAGATGCTGAAGTCGAGCTCCGGTGGCGCACACCGGAAAAAACCCTCGGGAAATATCAGCAGGGAGCGGAACGCCTTTCTCTTCGGCGAGGTTGTCGCCGATACCGACGATCAGACCAAGCCAATCAAGTCCGATGACATTTTTGGGCTGCAACCCATGGAGAAGCCAAAGTCTCCATTTGCATGATGATTACGAGAACACGTTGTGAGAGATGACGACAATGACTGGAGAACCTGGAGAGGCCGGCATCATGACAACTGTGAGGCTTACTAGCGAGAAAGGAGGTCGGGTGTGTCCATAGATGGGAGATTCGGGGATTGTCAAGACAATACAGACATGTTTGCCCAGCGATAATCTTCTACACACGAAGGCGCCCCCATGCCTTGACGATCATTCTTGGTTTCCATCAATAGTCGTAGACCAAGCCTTCACCCGCCGCCATCGTGTCTCGTGGGTCCCTGTCGCAATTGAATGGGGACCGCTTCCTTCTCCGGCCTTCCGCGTCGGCATAGCACGTGCAGGCATGGGCCAACAAAGTTGACGAGGATGTGTCTCCTGATCTAATTTTGTTGGCGGCAACTGCACCTAGAGGTTACTCTATTGGTCCTGAAGCTCTTGCCCGTTCAATGTTGGACGGCTGCTCCACTCAAGCTAACCGCAGCTAACCAAATTCTTCACAACTTCACACTTCCAACAACCATCAGGGCCAAGGAATATCCGACTCGTCATTTCCGGCCCTTTCTCATCACACTACCTACCCGACGCAGAGTCCACATTTTCTCAGACGCCTCGCTCTTCGCGCCTTGCAACCCTGGCAGACCCGGCAAGCCATGTCTTTTCGCGGCCGCTACAAATACCTCCAACAGACGGGTCGTATTATTCTTGGCTCACATCAGGCCGCGGAACAGTACCGAGGGCCCAACGGTCTCGTCTCTTCGGTCTTGAAGGTAGAGTATCTGGACGGCCGCCGGCGGTCCAATCTGGAAGGCACCATGATTCGTGCGTTGACGGACCGTCAATGACAGCCGCGATCAGCACTGTATCCCATGGCAGGTCCTTCGAGAAGGCGTCCACGCCGGCGTTCTTCGACGTCGTCGTCGCATGCGTGGGTGATCATTGAAGTACAATCCAGCCGCTTTCCTCCTCAAGCATGGAAGATCTGTGGAGATGAAGGTAGATCATATGCCAGAGCGCTCCCCAACCCAACCTTGAACCCTTGCAATCGCGTGTGGGTGCAGGATATTACAAAATCCGTCAGGGGGGGTTGAAGCAAACATGCAGCGGACCAGCGTCTTCACCAACCGACCCCTTCCGTAATAACAGCTTTCCTGCAATATGGGCTTGGGCCGAGAGTGATAACAGAGAAAACAGAGGGAAACGGTCGTCGAAGGATACCAGGATCGGAGACGAACAATGCATCGAAAGGACTAGAGTGTGCCCCCAAACATCTCATGTCTTCACTCCTAGGTGTGACTGTCAAACTTCGAGAACATGCATTACATGTGAAGGTGGCCTTCTCAACGGCGCGTCTCTGTACCACCGCCCGGATTATTGCCAAAACGTCCAGAAACGGATGTATCATATGGCACCGGTAATGAGATCAACCACCAAGCGCTGCATAGCCCAGCAAGGCATGGCAGCAAACTTACAAGCAAACAACACCTCACCCACACACCTTCCTCCAAGTTCCAACAGCCAGGCCCCTACCGACTGCAGAACGATCCTTACAATACTCCCACTCTCCCATCCCTCACCCACACAATATGCCACCAACGACACCGCCGGATCCGACAGGCTGGTTCGTGGTCTGCTTGGGGCATGCGCAGTAGATGCAGGAGGGAAATCGTGGCATCTCTGCCACATCCTACATGATTCTTCATCGCCGCCACCTCGCACCGACCCATCTCACCCTCTAGGCTCCCTTTTCCCCCATGCTCGCAACAAGATCCCAAATACGACAACAAGAGACCAACACAATGTTTCACCGTTCCTGCGTCGAGAAAACAGCGTGCCAACAACGTACCCTGAAATAGTCACTCCCTCCTTCCTCTTACGGCACTTTGGTTGCATAAGTGTTGCCCATAATAGTTGTCGAAAATCGCCAAGTAGGCGTGCTTCCCCCCCCCCCCCAAAACAAGCCTCCATGCATCATAGCCTCGTGGTCTCCCTTCATACTGGCCGCCGTGACAACTGGCCAACATCGTTCACCCAGCCCTGCCGCAATGGTCACAAGCAAACATCCCTCTACAAACACGCCGCTCTCCCTATCGCCGGACAGACCGCCCAAACCATCCATCCCGTTCCAAAGATACTCCACGTACGGAACACCGGACGGACCGTCTGGGGATCGGACAAGGCAAAGCTCCCTCCCAACCCGCTTGCAGGATCTCTTCACGGCTCTGTAACACGACAGTCCTGCAGGTCGGTGACAGACGAGTTCGTCCACGAGGCAGGGGCGGCCCACACGCCACCAGCAGACGCTCAACGACGTAGTATGTTTGTCCTGTCATCTCCCTCCAATGTGGCCTCGGAAAAGCGATCTCCTTTGTCCCCCTTTTACCAACCACCAGGCTCTGTCCCGTTTGCACTTTGTAAGTGGACGATGCCCCCCTCCCCCATCATCGAGGGACCGACGCACAAAGGAAACGGAGATGGGAGCCTGTCGGTGTCTGTCCTACGCCCAGCGTCCCGCGTCCCAAGCAAGCGGTTTCCTTTGCGTGCAAGATCCGGTAATGCCATGTTTTCTGTGCGACAACACTGCTACCTGAACCACCCGGATTCGGAAGGCGTCTCTGTCTAGGAGTGGCACCTACTGCATGGTTTTGATTGACTGAGTGATTGTATTTTCTAAGTCTACTACCCCTTGTCCGGGGAATTTCCCATCTCCAGATGACCATCGTAACCCCCCCCGCCATTATCATCATCAACCCCCAACCGCACACCTCTAAATCCCAGAACCCATTGTAAATGCAAGAGAAAGACACACTCGTATATCATGAGCCCTGCAGAAGTTATCGTGTAAAGAAACAGTGGGGGGAATAATGATAATAGTAATAAGCCCATGTTTGACCGCAATCCCGCACCACCACACGCCGTTGGTATCCCTTTTTCTTTCCCATTGTAGCATTTCGCCCCTTGCCCTCCCGGAAAACGTTCCAACTCCTAGTCATCATGTCCTTGTTTCATGTTTCGTGCGTGCCTATTCCCAGTGGCTATGCCGTATCGCATCCCAGATTTCGTAAATGCATATATATTTCCTCGCCCTCGGCCCCCGCCCCCGCCGCGGCGTGTCCTGCGCTTCCCAGACGAGAAAAAACACCCTCGCTCGGAGAAAAGTGTGAACCTGCCCCTGATGCAGGGGAGATGAGAAGTGAAAAGAGTAAACGAACCGTGACAAAGAGAGAAAGAGAGGGAGAATAGAAACAATTCTCTAGAGATCCCGGTGCGCCCCTTTGTTGCTTCGTTTGTTGCCCCCGGGACCCTGTTTGTCCATCCCGTCTGGGGAGAGAGGCCCCTCCCCTCGACCCCGTTTCCCCTTGAGAACTCCACATGAGAAAAGAACGTTTCTTGTCTTGATCATCGTACACGAACGGCGTCTAGGCACACTGTGGTGCGTCGCCGGCATCCTTTTTTGGGTGTTGCCTTTTTGTGTTTTTTTAGTGTCTTCGCCTGCTTGCGTGATTACACACGAAACAAATGCTTGTGATATTTTTGTGTATTCCTGATCTCCTCAGCCGGAGCACGCCCGTCTCCGCTTGCCTTTAGGAGTGTGGTGTAGTGTAGTTGTATAAATCCCCACAACTGTTTAAGTGGGAGAAACCCCAGAAAGCAAAATAAAGGGGAAAGAGTAAGTTTGGATATCATGAGTAGAAGCGAATCAAAAGCCCAGAAACGAAAGAGAAGCAAGAAAAAGAAAAGAGGCTAGAGGCTGGAAAAAGGGGGGCTCAGAGACGACTGTTCTGGATGGCTCGTCTCCTCTTTTTCCGTGCCTCGGCGGCGTCGAGCTGGGCTTGTCTTGCACGACCTGAAGATTCTGGTTAGTCGACGCTCAAGGCAGCATACATTGACGTGGATTGGCCGAGGGGACTCACCGAGCTTCTCGTACTGCCGCTTGTGCTCCTCTGAAACCCACGAGTAGGTGATGGCGCGCTCAGGGTGCATGCCCAGCAGCCCGATCGAGTTGTTCATCTTCTTGCCCTGCTCGCGGACGTCGCACTGGAACGTCTTGGGGTTGTCGTCCTCGTCAAACACGAGCAGGTTGTTGGGGTCCGTGGCGGGGATCTGCTTGTTCTTGCGGTAGTAGACGCCCTGCAGCCCCTGCGGGCCGCGCTTGTGGCCCTTTGCGGCGTCTTCGGGGAACACGGCGGCGTACTTGGCCTCGACCTCCTTCCACGAGAGGTGATGGTCGACGCGGAAGTAGTCGATGAAGTCGACCTGCTGGATCGTGTACTTCACGTTGCACCGGGACCCCGTGGGCGAGCGGCGCGGCCGGCGGGAGGGGCTGCAGGCACCGTTGGAGGTGCGGAGGGCGGTTACCGGTAGCCTGTGCTGGAGGCGGCGGGGCGAAGTGAGGGGGTGGGAGTGGTGGGAGTGAGAGTGGTGATGGTGGTGGTGGGAGGCGCTCAGTGTCGGGGAGGGGAGGGCGTCCGGGTAGGCCATTGGGGGCATTGGGATTCGGTAGGCCGGTGGCGAGGAGAGGTCGAGCCTGGGTTCCGCGAAGGACGAGGTGCCGATGGAGTCGATGCTGCTCCGCCGCGGGCCTGCCCCTGAGATGGAAGAGGAGGAGGACGGGGGAAGGAAGCCCGGGCTAGGGATGAACTCGGGCTCGAGGGGCCGGAGGTCCAGCTCACGCAGGCGCGGGAGCGTGATGATGGGTGCTGTACCACTGCCGCCGTCCTTGGAGAAGGAGAGCCGGGTGCTGACGGAAGGGAGGTCTGGCGACCTGGGTTCAGGCGAGGAGAATTGGGAGTTAGTTGACCTCGTCATGCCTGGAAACCGGGCGTAAGCTTCACATCGTCTTCATCGGATGATGCTTGTGAGGTGTGTGTCCTACCGTCTGACTTGATCGAGGTGAAGCTCTGAGTGGGTGAAGGGAGAGTCGGCGACTTGATGTTGAAGGAGGCCATGGAGGCGAGCGTCGTTGCCACTTCCACTTCGTGACGTTTACCGGGCTTTGGGTCGTTGCTGCTGCTGCTGATGCTGTTACTGAGGGCATCCACATCCATCCTGTCGTCAAAGGTGAATGATGAGAGGCTGGGAAGCACTCTGGGCACCTCGTCGTTGCGGCCCTGGCTGTAGCTCATGGGCGGCGGCAGCCGGTCCATGCCGTGTTGGTGTTCTTGTAAGCTGACGAACATGTTGTGGTGTGATGTTGATGTTTTGAAGAGGCGAGGTGGGAGGATCGAAGATGATCCGAGGAGAGAGATGTCTGATCAGGTTGGAACGTGTTCCAAGCCAAAGGGGCAGAAATGATGCCTGACACCTGCGGAGATCTCTCTTTATTGATGAAGAATTGCTGATGAGGACAGATGTTGATGCGGGAGGGGCGAAGACAGGTGTATGTTGATCGGGGAGTGAAGAGAAACGAGACGAGTCATCGACAACGGGTCAGACCCTGATAGTCAAGTTCCCGTCCGCGATGGATCTCTGTCTCTGTTATATCTCTTTTTCTCGCCTGTCTGGCTGTACAACACAGTCAGGAAAGAAACGAGCCGGGACCCTGGTTTGGGGCAGGGGGGGTTCGAGAGCCAAGAGAGAGTGAGTGTGTGAGTGTGTGTGTGAGAGAGTGAGAGAGAGAAAGCTGGCTAGGTTTGTGTCTATAGCTCCAAGTAAGGGCCAGGGAAATCGGGCTCCGCCTGGAGGCATTCTGACAGCGAAAAGCCGTTTCTTATTTTTCTTCGGTACTAAGGTTGGCTATGTGCAGACGCAGCCAAATGTGTAGATCCATGGCATGCACCTCCTGCAGGTCGCCCAATCTGTCAAGCCTGGGCTGCCCCTCCTCCAGGGTCATGATCCTGGTTCGTCATATGGGGAGAGACCTTTAAGGATAGGCGCTGTGTCTGCGTGTGCTTCTCTTCTTCATCCAATTGTGCAAATGCGTATATACTCACAATAAAAACCACTCTCTCACACACACACACGCCCTCCGATACCAGCCTCACGCCACCGCCTCTGAATGTGATATGCAGCAAGCAAGGTCATGGCCTGTTTGGGAATGATGAGGACGACCCAGGCATGCGAGACTGACGGCGGGAAAGACTATGAGACGGGGGAGAGGCGTGAGGCATCGAAGTAGCGGCGCCCGCAGGCGGGGGTAGCGAGGCTTGCCGGTTCGCAAGGGAGAGTTGAGCGAGTTGTTCCTCAGCCGAAATGAAGGCAGTCCAATGGTCGAGACGACGGTGCATAGAGAGTAATGAAGGGGATAGTGCGGTCTGCAGTGCAGGCAGGCCCCTAAGCGTACTCTGTAGTGTCAGTGTGAGAATGAAAAGGTGATTGTGGTGGGTGCAGGTGGTATTCGGGACCTGCTGCACAGTCGATATTCTCCTCCGGCGACGCTAGTCTTAGATCGTAGCTGCGCGTCACAACCGGTGCGTGAGGTTGTAGTCGCCCGGGGCCCAGCTGCGAGTCCCACTGTCTTCCGGACGTAGCAGAGACGAATAACGAACGATACCGTCTTAATCGGGACACTGGAGGTGTGGGTATAAGGTGGAGATAGACACCCACACAATGCCCCCCAGGGACGTTGCGAGGCCGAGAGACCCCGAGAGAGAAAGAGAGGAGTGTGTGTGCGAAGGTGAGTGAGAGCCGAAGCACTTGAGAGTGAGGCACACACAACCAGGCATGGCACGTATGCTTCTGCTTTGCTTTGTACGACGCTAGGCCTCATTTGCTGTTGGGCTAGCATGAGGCCACGATTGGATCGCCTCAAAAGGCCGCCCCTCCAAGCCGACTCGAAGACGATGGTCAAGACCCGGTTGGGGCATTTGCTTCCCGAGATACTGGAAATGTAATAATAGCTGCCCCGGTCCCATTCCTCCCCCTTTGAAAAACTGGGCAAAAGTGTTTGCTCTGTTTGTCGTGGGCCGAGTTCATTGTCGTTGCGGTTTCATAACGATCATGTAAGGCCTTGCCACTCCCGCAGTTTTCTTTTAGGTGTTTGCGGCATGCTCAACAGCCTCCGCAGCAACAGCCACAGCGTCAAGTCAAAGTCGGTGTGCTTCTGCGATGCAGAACGGACAGAACGGGCTTCCTTCTGGCCACCCGCCCCCACTCACACAGACAGACAGACAGACACACACACACACACACACACACATACCCGCCTCAAATCTCGCAGGAAATGCTCCTCGTAACATCTCAGCTTGTTGTCTGAGATGCATATCTGATTTGAGAGAAACGGGCATCGGTACCCGCTGGTGAGATGGGGTTGGCCACGCGGTAGTCGTTGAGTGCAGCCGCCTTACCGCCGTCGTCTAGGGTCTGGGAAGACGGTTTGTGGGGCCGCCGTCGTACCTATGTAGTCTCGACCACCCACCCGCTCACTCCGCTTAAGGGCTTGCGGGGACCGACTGAAGAGGGTTGCCAAAGCCTGGTTGAAGAGAGAAAGGGAGTGAGGGAGAGAAAGAGAGAGAGAAAGGTCGAAAAGTTGGCAAGATTGGGTACGGTTAGGTTGGCATTGGCCAGGGGGGGCAAAGCAAGGGAGGGGGTGTAGGTATCCAAAGTGCGCGTAACTGTGGTTCAGATGAGCGCATCTAGATCTTCACCATGATTCGAGTTGGTAAGAATAAGAAACACATCGCCGCCGCAGAGTTCGATGGCTAGATGGCGACTGGTGAAGGGACTCTGTCTCAACTGCCTTGGTGGAGAAGCCGCTGCCACCCGACCTCCTCGCCAAACTAAGCCCGTGTAAGCATAATGGCATAACGGTCGTCCTGGGTTAACATGCAGCCTGCCCTGGCCATTCGTCTGCGATTATGTTGCCGGCCAAATGAGCGTCTGGCCAACCAACGAACACCCCCAGGTTTCTTATTCCACGGTCAGAGAGGTACATTTTCCCTGTCTCGTCTCGGCTGGACTCTTCACTAGACTTAATTCAAGCGCGCGGTGTCAATTTCAGGGATCTTTCTCCCTTTTGTCGAAGCCACGCGACGATGCTGGCCGAGTCTGAGATGCAGGGGGTTTCGCCACGACGTATTGCGGCTTTCCTTTTTCTCTTCAGTTGGCTTTACCGCTCAACCGCTCTGGTGAAGTTGCGGCCGCGCCAGGCAAAAGTCAGCATGGCCGGGAAACCTTTGAGTCCCAGCCGATCCATTTGGGACCCTGGCAATTGCTTGGTTCTTGTTGGACCACCTTGAGTTAGTTCGGCCTTGTTGTTGGTGCGTGCCTGTTTTTTGTTGTTGTTGTTTTTTTGCAAACCATGGCATCTGACGGCCGTTGATCGTCTCGCTGCCTTCTCTGCAACGCGAATCGCCCAACGCACTGCACGCCATTGCAGCGTGTCCCTTGACCATAGGATATGCCGCCTCCTCTGGTCGGGCCTGAAGATTGGGTGGTTGCCAATTACTCGGCAGTGTTTGTACTACCCCACGCAGAATGCCTCGACGCCAATCACTTGCTGAAAGCGGGCAGACAAAACCAAGTTGACGGAACGCAGGCCCTCGAGGTGTCGGTCGATGCCATCGCCTCCTCCTTCGTACAAGCTTGAAGCTGAAGGGGAACTGTTTCGAGTCTTCACTGGACCTTCCTCGCACCGGCCGAAAGCCTCTCCAGTTACCCGATTCTGCTCTCTGCAGATGCTCGTGTTAGACTGGCGCCTGTTTTGTGAGCAATAATACCACCTTGGCTCGTTCGCCCTGCATACGTATGGCTGACCGTCTTTACTTTTCTTCCGTTTCCTTTTGGAACCTAATCATGGATCTCGTCAGACCAATGCCCGCATAAAAGATCCGAAACAGACAAGCTCCCGGCTGGGTTGGAAGCGTGATCGGCTGAAGCATGGCGCCCGATTAAGAAGTCGTCCTTGATTAGCCATCGCCTCCGGCCTCGTCGTACACTGAGGACTGTATGTCATCTGTTGCCAGGCGCGTCGCACCCCCCTCCATAATCGCCCTCTTCTGCAACTGGATGAAGGTTGTACTTTCCTTTCCCTGCGACAAGCACATGCGTGCTAGCCACAGTTGCCATCCCCGCGCCGCACACATGTCAAGGCAGATGCTCGAGGCCTGGCCCATGGCAGAGCCTCTCATAAGAAGAACGGTGAGCCCTTTCCGACCCTCCCATCTCCTTCCGACGCATGATTGCCTTCGTCCACCGCTCTTTTGACATAAGTGAGATGATCATGAGCTCCCATGAACTGCAGCTTGGCGAATTGATGGCCTTGCGTAGTTGCGATATGCAAGCTGCCGTGGCCACTGGTAACACGCCCCGTGTAATCCCACGATTCAACGGGAACGCTCTTCGTTGAGCAGCTGAGTCAAGCAATGTGAGCCTACACCGCTAGGGAGGCCGGCTTCGAGACAGGTATCCGAAGATGATGCTAGGGTCTCGGCAAAGACACCAGATGAACGATTCGAAAGATGCATCGCGACCGATCCGACCCCGCGTCGCTGCTAGATCAAAGCTTCTAGGATGAATGTTGTTCAAAGTGAAGCAATGTTCCAACCTTGAACCCGGTAGACATTGAAAGGGTCGAAAGGGGCCGATTGCCAGTCGCCGTTGTCAATCTTCTTTGGAGGGCGGCCAGAATTCCAACTCGATGTCCCGCACTGAGAGAGATTGCCCTGTGGGCACGCCCGTGGCATAGGTATGCCAAGCTCGCTTTCTTCAGCAAAACGTCGTACCAGATCTAGCCCTTATTTCGTTATTTCCCATTGTTCTGTATGCGAATATCCGCTCCCTTGGGGGGGCCTAAGCATGGACCCATCAGTGAGCAAGGCTGAGGAGGTGGTAGCGGGTGCGAAAAAGGATACGGATCCGTGCTGTTGAGCTGCACCGTGATAAGAAATCAGCCGATGCTCGAGGATTCGCCAGTGAGCCCCTCCTTCGGCAGCCAAGCCGTCAAGGGATCGAGCCAGCTAGGAAACGGCAGCAGGCAAGGCGGAGACGCACGATACAAGCACGTCAGTCGTCTTGCATGTGCTCATGACACAGGATAGACATTGAACGCCAGTGATTGCCTTTACGAGATTAGGTTCTTCAGCTGAACGAGCCAATCTGGCTGGGCAAAGATCAGACGGCGGAGGCGCGAAGCTGCTGGGTCATTTCCAGTGCCCGGGTGTCTGCTGGAGGATTGAAGGCATTGAATAAAGAGCAAAGGGTGAGCAGTTGAGGTTGGACGATGGAGCGATGAAATGGTGTGGCAGCTGTGGGACGAAATTGACAGGGGTGCTTCTGTCATGGATTCGGGGCTAGCCGCTGTGGTGACTGGCTCGCAGATTCTATGCTACCCAGGCCGTGCCAGAGACATGCAGATGATGCATCCCGCAGCAGCTAGGCAAGTCTATCCGGCATTAGCTGCCATCGTGTATCGGCCGCAAGGACACGGGTGGTGCGGATCGGTCTCTGGCCAGGTCGGAGAAGCAGGACTTGTCGCAGCCCCAAAAGCCCGCCCGCCCCCCTTCGACCCTTTGAGCGTCCGTCGAGGAATTGACCTCTAGAGAATGGGGCAGGAAAAGAAAAAGCAAATGCAAATGACGAAGGACGCCACCCGGCCAATAATCTTGCCCTCCTAGAGATGGTGATGACCTGCAGCTCTGTGGGGAGACACCTTGTCTGGTTTCACTTTTCCTTCCACAACCACACCGAGTGCTACTCCAGCGTCGGCCTGCGATGAGTTTTCGGCCGTGGAAAAAGACTCATCTCCCGAGAATCTCCTGTAGATGGTTTGGTGTGTCAGCTTTCTTCCGAATACAGCGGCTTGACCCTCTCGGGCGGCGGCGGTGCGAGTGGGCAAAGGAAAAAAAAGGAAAGAAAAGTGGGAGCGTCCCCGGTGGTGGGCGTTCCGCGTTGCAATGGCGGCAAGGGTAATGAAGGGCTGGCCGAGCTGCCCCATTGGTGAGATCGGAGCGCGAGTGCACGCGCGGGTGGGGGCGGGAATTCCATCTTACCATCCCCTCTCTTCTCCTCCGCTCAAAAAGCTGCAATCGCTGTTGAGCTCACAAACCCACCCTCCTCCAACTCCCCGACCATTTCTCCATGAGCTGGTGTCCAGATCTGGCCCTGTTGGTCCCATTGTCAGTTGCGAGGAGTCCCATTTTATGCTGATGACGTAGGGATGCGAATCCTACCTGGTATTCCTGGGGTCTGTGCCGAGGAAGAATGCGCTCTTCTCCGGTACACACTCAGGCCGCAGGTGAAGGCTCGGAAGTCTTCCGCGTCGATACTCTCGGGCATGACGCCGGTAAGGACTCGTCCAAGGGCAATGATTGAGGCGGCATGCGAGCACAAGACGACGGCGCGTTTGCCCTCGGCGTCGCATTGCTCAATGATGGCTTGGACGCCGGCAGCCACACGGTCGTGCAATTGAGCAATGGTCTCGCCGTTGCGGGCGGGAACCACGGCGCTCTGGTACGTGTCATCGAGGTGAGGGAACATGGACTTGAGCACGTCGGACGAGGCCGGAGTCGGGTGCTCAAACGGGGCAGCGCCATACCACTCACAGAGGCCATGCTCGGGGCGGATAGTGACAGCGGCGGCGTTAGCGCCATCGTCCTGTTCCCGGAGGCGGTTGAGGCGTTCCTGCTTGAGGGCGACGAACGGCGCGATGGTCTGCAGGCAGCGGTAGTAGGGGCTGGAATAGACGGCCTCGATTGGAGGGTCGACAGTCAGGAGATGGGCGCCCAGCTCCCTAGCCTGGTCGACGCCGTGAGCTGTCAGTTCCGGATCCGCGGGGATTCCTGTCGGAGATGGAATGGACGCCGTGTAGCTGCCCGTGGAAGGGTCGACAAGCCAGTTGGACCTGAACTAAGGGGCGCCAAGGCTGTTGTCAGTTTTCTTCATCAGACCAACACACGATGCCACCAAACGCCAAGTGTGCAGCATAAAACCCTTGTCCGTTGGTCCACTGTCGATGACTCGAGGGGTGCTGTGGTGTGAATGGGCTGGTCTCGTCTTCCTTGGAGGGGACTTTAGACAGCACCCCCCGTCCGTTGGATCTCATTCTCGCCCTCATTGGTGTCGAGTCTCGGTCTCGGAGATGAAGCCGGATGCGACGACACAATACAGAACAGGGCAGGGGGGGGGACGGGGACTTACTCCATGGCGGGTGATGTAAATTACTTCCAATGACATGTTCGTGACGGGGACAGAGTGTCGCAACCCTAGCTGAATGAGAGAAGGAGGACGAAACGGAGGCCCAGGAAGGGGCAGCAAAAGATGGGTCGGGCGCTGTCGTGTTCGATTTCAGTCGTATGGATTGCGTTGGTTCCTGGATAAGGTGAGGACCGTGAGACGGGGCGCGGTGCGGCGAGGCGAGGCGAGGCGAGGCAGCGAGGGACGGCAAGGCAAGGCAAGGCAAGGTTGCAGTGTTGGCGGTTGTGGTCGTTGTGGTGGTCAGGACGGTGCCCGTAAATTGGGGCGGGATGTGATGAAGAGAAGTTGGCTCGGTCGGGTGTGGCAGCAGGACGAGGATGAGGCGACGTGGGTGCTGCAGGCAGAGAACCGACAACCACGGACCAAAGACCCCTGTGAGGACTGGCTGAAGATGTCGTTCAACTAAGAGTGTCGAGGAAGAGCCCGGGCCAGTTCCCCGTGTGCTCTGTGTTCCCCCAAACCAACGCAGTCACCCTGCCGAGGCAAATAGAACGGCAACAGTGACCTACCGTAACCCAGCAAGCCGGGCATGGGGGCCAGCCGAGGCCAGCCGGGGGCAGGCAAGAGCTGCTGTCAAAAACGGCTGGATGGGTGGCAGTACCTGGGGGATACCTGGCCGGGGGCGGTAGCATCCTGTGCACCGTGATTACGCTACATATACGGATACAGTGGGTGGGCCCACATCCTTCAGCACCTCATGGCATGGCAGCATGGCTTCCGGACATCCTCGGTCACTCCCTCACCCACTCCTTCTCCTCCTCCTCCTCCTCCCCCCTCTCTCCTCCCCCTGTCAGCTATCATCATCCAAGCTCACATCTCACTCGCGTCCTCTCCCCCTACCTTGGTGCCTGTATACGAATGCCTCGAATGGGTGGCGGCCAGCAAACACCACCCACTTCCCAAACCGGGAGTCGATGCTTCGTGGTGTGGGCCAGGCCATTGACCGGGACACTCCAACGGGCAGCATCCGGCAGCGTCAGGTAGTATTCCCACCACCGGTCAAGATCCCCGCCGACCTTGGAGATGCGCAGGTGATCGATCAAGCTGCAGCGCGGCACCGAATGTGACAAGTCCATCCCTCACCGAGTTGCAGCCTAATCCTGCATCCCTAGGTATCCTCTGGGGGATCTGGGCGGCAGTATGGCACACACCTAATATTAGACGTTTCGTCCGCGGCGTCGACGAGACGACCGGGCAATGGCTACTCCAAGGGTACAAAGGCGTCAGAGAAGATATGCAGGCTGCCCGGTTGACAGGGTTCGAATTCTCCGTGACACCTTCGGCTGCTTCCCCCCGGTGCGGCCTGCAGAAATGCAAGCGGATGCAGAAACATAATCATGTCATAAGTCTTCCGTCACGGCTGCCAGAAAAGCAAAGAACAAAGGACTTGCACATTTGACATATAACGCCGCCCTCGGGCAACCAAAGACTGCGGTCGAGCCCGGATCCTTGACAGCCTCGAACCAGCCATCCCTGCCTGTGCCATGCCCTGCTGCCTCCTTCCCGCCGTCTCCCGTCTCATGATTAGTGGTAATTCAACTCCGGATTGGCCCTGAAATTGCACCGGCACCGGCACTCGGGAACCGGGCACTCGACGTGCCTCGTGAACCACTGCCTCGCATGGTCGAGATGCAGCACATGCTCGCACTTTAGACAAAACGTTGGGAAGTTGGCCGCCATCCATACCTCCGGCTCGCCGTTGAGCTCCGGTCGGTCAGATCTCGGAACGCCAACCACCTCCAGGCACACCACGCATCGCGGCAGGTGGCGCCCGCAGTTTGGGCAGCTAATGCCCGCGTTGATGCTGGTCGCCATCAGGGGGTTCCTCGAATCGGGCGCCCCAACCGACGGTCCTGACCCGGTTCCGCCTTGCCCGGCGAGCGTCGTCTCAGCGTCGCAGTACACGCAGCGCAGCGCGATTTGACGAGATGGCGGCTTGATCGTGGGGCGCCCTCCACGCTTGCTTTTCTTTGTGCTTTCCACCTCAAACTTGGTCCTTTGGAGGAAGGCCTTGTGCCGTTGCAGGTACCTCCTGTAGGCGTTCCTCCACGCGAGGCACCGGTAATCGTCAATGTAACGTGGCGCGCATATCGATGTGACCAGCGTCGCCGTCTGGAAGTCGTTGAACTTCTCAACGTATTTGGCAAAGATGTCCACCAGCTTGTCCGTGATCCCCGTGAGAACGATGCCCTCAATGTCCCCGGTCTCCACTGCCATGGCAACTTGCTCGTTGAGCCACTTGGTGAGCTGCTCGTCGTCAAAGTTCCGTACCGCAACGTAGGCCCGATCCGACAGGGGCAACGACTTTTGGTTGGCGATGGCGAACCAGTCTCCCGTGGCGATCAACGACGAAATCGCCCGGAGGTAAGGATCCGTCTTCGAAGCAACGGCTTCGTCGAAATCGAGCTGCTCCTTGCTAAGGTGCTTGTCGCTCCTTCCGATGAGCTGCAACGCCAACGAGACGAACAGCAGCTCTGGATGCGTAACGCTCGCCGTCTTGAGTATTTGGATTGCCTCCCGCGTGTCGCCTTTGAAGAGAGCCCGCGCTGCTGCCATTGTATGTGCCGTCGTTGGGTAGTCTTGACTAGGATCATGTGCCGCTGCCCCCTGGCTTCATGCGCGGCAGTGTCTCCCCAACCGCAGATGTCCAGGCACAGTTGCCTGTGGAATGGTTTCTTGGTCTGGATGCCTTCGTACTTTGGCAGTCGCCGCTTTTTGCAGATGCTCCCAATGCATTTTTCCCACAGGGTTGTCTCTGGGATCGGCGACGCTTCTGGAAGCCTCGATGAGGGCTTTCGACCTGCAGTGGCGGTCAGTCACAATCCGTAGTAGGGAGCCACATTCTACGAACCTAGGTCATCGGTCCAAATGGTACAGACTCCCATGTAGCTGAGGTCGAGGGGCGACAGTTTCATGCCTCCGTCCAAGGCAGCGTCTTCCGCGTCTGCCCTTGGTTAGCGACTACATCAATCAATCATCCGAGACACTTACCAGCAATCCAATCCCACACATAGCGCAGCCACGGATCATCAGATACGACAACGCGGTTGACGTTGCAGTCAAAAAGGTACTTCTCTTTGGCGCGGAGAAGCATGACATGGTCGAGGAGACACTGAGCTTCAGTCGACAAGTCTGGGGCTTTCAGCGGTAGCGAAAGAAGAGACTCGTGCATATGACGACAAGAAACCGGTCCATCTCTGGATATAGACAACTGGGCGAGTGAGCTGATAGACTCCTCCATGACCGAGCTCTCGGCCCCGTTCGTCTCGGATTTTTTGGCTTTCTCCTTGAGCTCCGACCTCAAAGCTCGCATCCTCTCCGCAGTTGACTTGGATTTGTCAAGTGCCGGTGCGGCCTTATCCGCATTGTCGGCCAGCTTTCCGTTGAGTTCAGAGACCGAGAACTTGGACTGCAGTATCTTATCCACGATAGACTGGACATCAGCCTTGTTGGGCCCGAATATGGGAATATCTGAGAGCGCTTCCTCCACATACAGCGGGCCAAGCATGTCGGAGGACTGTGACTGCTCAAACTCCATTATGCCGCGATAGGCAGCTCCTTCTACGCAAAGTTAGAAGTTGGTCCGACAAGTGAGCTCACCCACATACCTTCGAGCCCCGATGGGGTGGCTGCCATGGCGTTAGCTTGTACAGGTAGTCGGAAGTATACGATGGCTGCTCGAGAATTTCAAAGGTTCCGTTGGCGCGTAGGATCACGAGTCGAGGTTGCAGCACCGGCGAATCCAGCGTCACCCAGTCAAAAGACACGATCCGGTCGTTCTTCCGGCCAATATCGCCGTATTGAACATCCATGTCGTGAGATTTGTGCACCTCCAACAGCTCCGGACTACCCTCCAGAGACGCGCCACTATGTGTAATCTCCTTGTTCGTTTCCAGGACCTTCAGCTGACCAGATCGAGACAACACGGCCAGAAGCCCGCGACGGTCCCGGCAGTAGCGCAGGGAGCGGACGATGGAGTGCTTGCTTTCGCTCAGGGACGGATCGTCGTCCATCTCAACCACCCGGTCAAGTCTCAAGGCGCCGCCCCACGGCAGATCGTCCTCTTCTAGTGCGCTCAAGTAGGATGGCGAAGCGACCGGTCGGGATGTCGCTCGCCTGTCCCAGATCATGATGCCAGGCTGGTCTAGCGCCGACGATGCGAAGTAGTTCTGGTCAGCGTAGTCGATGGCCAGGTTGTTGTTACATTTGGTCTGGAACGTGGAGACAACACTGCCGGGTTCTTTTGCATGAGATATGTCAGCCACAAGTCAAAGTTGACGCGGCCATGGGCAACTACCTCTTAAATCGTGAATGCGCAGGCCCTGAGCCTTGATTCCAACCACCAGGGTCTTTGGGTTATCCTCAAAGAACTTGACGCTCGACACCGACACACTAGGTTCCAGTCGATAGGCCGGGTCCGCAAAAGCCTGTAGGTCTTTGGGAAACCCTTTGGCTGTCTTGTTCATCGTTGATAGCCGGTTGACGTCCCAAATGTGAAGGCACTGGTCCATGCGCACCCGGTCCAAGCCGACCGCGAGAAGGCCCTCGGTGCTGAATGCCACTGCTTGACACGTTCTCGTCATTTTAAGATTCAACTCGATGTAAGCGTTGGAGTTGTCGTCCATCCTCAGCAGATTGACGACACCGGTCTGGGTGCCAACGGCCAGCAGGCCAGGTACCGTCGGCGACCAGTCATACGTAGTAAGGGTGGGGAAGTCATCGTGTTTCGATAGCCTCTTGTAGTCGAACCGGCTCCTCTGCGCGAGCCCGCTGGCTTCGTATAGCTGCACGACGCGATGCTGGAGGTTGATGTGGATGAAGCTATCGCAGCCGGGAATCTGCGACCACTTGATCAGTCCAGGCTCCGGGCGGTCCATGGCGGCCGCGCGCGCCTGAACTTTGGATTAATATCGCGATTGAATTTCCCGGGAAGTCGAGTCGAATCGAGAGTCCGCGCCAACGACTCAAGTTCGAAACGACGCTCAATCGCTTCTTGGTGTCTGAGTTGAGTGGGTGAGATGCGCCTGATGGTGGGACCTAGTGTAAGCAGGCCAAGTGTGGCAAAACTCCAAGACACTCTCGATTTACAACGTGTCGCCGGAACGCCTAGCTCAACTCTTTCCAAAGTTATTTGCTCAGTGCAAGTCGGCGCAAATGATTGCTGGCGTCAGTCGGGTACCTCAAATCACTGAGCTTCGCGACCAGGTCAGTGAGCCGTTGTAATTGGAGTCTGTCATTGGTCTAGGCGGGCCGCCCGCAGCGCTAGTCCCAAATGGCCCGATAAGGATCTTCGGGTGGGGTCGGCAGCCTCCAGGCTACCGATAACGATCCAAATTTTTGAAAGGCAGAATCCGCGAAACCATCGTCGGCTTTCATCTCGTGCACCCAACCCGCCGCACCAAAGCCCACATCGCAACCAAAACACGGCGCGTCTAGGCACAGTCACAAGAGCCATGGGCACAAAACGAGGACACTCCGAGTTTGACTCGGAAGGCGCACAGCTGGACGATCAACGCAGCAATTCCCCGGGCTCGGAAAACGGGCAGCACGACAACAAGAGATTCAAGGCCACCAGGAAGAAGCACAGGGCGAAGGAGGGCACGACGAACTGGAACAAGACCCGCGCAAGAGCCATCAGGAGACTTCTGCAGAGCGGCAAGGAGCTGCCCGCCACGAAGCGCAATGAACTGGAACAGGAGCTGGAGGCGCTGCAGGAGAGGGTCGAGGAGCACGACTTCAAGAAGAGGCGGAGCAACATGATCCAGAAGTACCACATGGTTCGGTTCTTTGGTACGTCAGACTCGTTACGCCATGCTATGTTTGTGCCTTTGGGATGCATTCGACTAACTGACTGCGATCATCAGAACGGAAAAAGGCAGAGAGACTCCTGAAGCAACTGCGCAAGAAGCTCCACCAAACCGAAGACCCCGAAGAGAAGAAGCGCCTCGAGGCCGAGGCCCACGTAGCCGAAGTCGATGTCGCTTACGCCCGCTTCTTCCCTCTGATGGAACGCTACGAGAGTCTGTACCCCAACAAGGACAAGAACGCCGAGGAGGGGGGCAGAAGGAGGAGGAGGAAGAGGACAAGCCCGAGGCCGACGCAAAGCCGTTCAAGCAGCCCAAAGCCCTGCGGGCGCTCCACGCCGAACGGCCAAAGATGTGGGCCACCGTCGAGAGGGTCCTGCCAGAGGGCGAAGCGGCGCTGTACAGGCTGCGCGACCGCAAGTCGCCGGCGGACGCGGCTCCGCACCAGAGACAGCCTCTGCCGCAGCGGAAGCAGCGGCCGGAGCGGGTCAAGGAGGAGGACCCGTGGCTGGCGCGGTCAAAGAAGACGTGGAACGACGCGAAGACGAAGGATCCCAAGCAGCCGATGAACAGAAGGGAGCGCAGAGCGCAGGAGAGGAAGGCCCCGATGAAGGTGGACGAAGAGGACGATGGCACGGGCTTCTTTGAGTAAGACTGGGACTAGGGGAACTCGCACAAGAAACATGGGCGTGGTGTTGAGCGTTTCGGTTGTCATTTGTATACCCCCTAAAAGTTTTGCGGGATAGCCGTCAATGGAACAACAGTCGATGATGATTCATCTCAAAAGACCCGTCAACAGCAGAGTTCGGAATCCATGCGGTTCTGTACGTACCTCACCAGCACCCCTCATGGCAGGGTGTAAGGGGTGCAAGTCGTCCGATGTGACCACCAGTCCAACGACAGTCGCCGTCTCCTTTATCAAATTCAAGTAACCTCGAACAACCTGCCTATAAAAAGGCGATCCGCAACTGTCCAGTAGCTTTAGTCTACATTCCAACGTGCAGAGGAGAATATGCGCGAAGGCGTCATCAGGCAAGGCCCGCGGCCTCTCGCATGAGCCTCGGCCAGCGAGGCGTTTTGAGGGAAAGTAACCCCACCAGCAGTTACACCTCTCAGTCTTCTCGAGCAGCCTTTACACTGCCAACACAGTTTACTCAAGAAGCCAGCGTGCCTTCCTTCAATAGATCGTTTTCGACACACGCACTTCTTTTTAACCCAATGCCGATGTTCTTCTCACGCCTGCTCACTCTGCTGCGTAGCGATTGATACTTCTCTCACATCACCCGCCGCCCCAATTAGGCGCAAGGAGCCCCCGATCGACCATGTCCGCCCCATCGCCCAACGGCACGCCTGCCCAGCGCGTAGACTGGACGGCCCTCAAGTCGTACATCGCCGAGAAGGAACGATTCGAGGCGGAAAACGGCCACCCCGCTCCGCTCAGCGAGACGGAGCTCTCGGCCATCGCCGTCCTCCTCCGCCCGGCCCCGCGATCGGACCCGGAGCTCGGGAGCAAGAACTGGCTCGGCCTGCTGAACCGTACGTATCGGCACACCCCCCGTTTTCCCGCGATGGTGTAGCCAATCGAGCCCTCGGCTAACACAGGGCTTCCCTCCCCGATTACAGATTTCCAACAGGTTAGGAGCCAAAAGGTCACATTCACAGACGTGTGCCGCGAGTACCCCCGTCTCGGGAAGGCCCCGGACCTGCGCTGGGCATGCACGGCAACCTTTGCCAGCACCGGCGACATCTTTCCGCAGCCTGGCTACGGCGTGGGCACCGACGCCGGCGCGAGCATGCCGGACTTCCAGAGGAAGCAGGACGCGAAACAGTACGCCGCCAGGGCGGCTTGCGAGTGGCTCATCGCCAACGGCCAGATGCTGCCCTCGGGTGATCTACCAAAGCAGCCCAAGCCCTTCGCGCCAGCCGCCTCAGCCGCCATTGCTTTTGCTTCCCCGCTGGGCTCTGTTCTTCCTTCCAAGAGGTCACCGCCTAGCTCCCCTTCGGCCGGGGCCAGCGGTTCCTCGACAGCAGCAGCAAGGAAGAGGCAGGACACTCTACCCGCCAGGGCTTCCTCCTCCTCGCCTCCTCACCTCCCAAACAGCAGCGCTGGCGGGATCAGCGCGCCCAACGTTGCAAAGGAACCCTCAGTCGTAGGCAAGATAGCACCCTCTCCCCCAACACTAGCGTCCGACTCGGTTTCCTCCTCCGCGACAACATCCACAGCAAGCACCCCCTCGGCCAATGCCGGCGTCTCCATTGCCGAAAGTCCCCCAGCCGCCTCCAACCCCTCAGAACCCTCAATGTCCCAGAGGGTTCGCGAGCTCTGCGCCCGCCTAAAGTACCCGGTTCCTCACTACAAGCTCACCGAAGACACAACAATAGCCGGGGGCGACTTCTGGAACGGCCATGCGGACTTCAGCAACGACCTGCGCGTACCGGATGACCTGGGCACCGTCTACAAGGTCCTGACGAAGAAGGCGACCAAGGATCGCATGTGCGCGGACATTCTGGCGTGGCTGCTCCACGAGCAGGAGAAGAGGGATAGGGTGGCCAAGGAGGCGCTGGCGGGGAAAGGGAGATGATGTGGTCTATAGGGCGTTGACTTTGGCGCCTGGGGGTCTGGGATTGATGCTTGGGAGCTGGGTGTTCTTTGGGGGCTTTCTTTTGGTCCGGTGAGGGCTAGTATGCTAATAGGGTTTGCAATGATAAAACTTCTCATGAACATGCTTGCCATCTTTTCCATCCGGAATATGCTACAACTACAGGGATTGCTACTCCGAAAGAGTTAAACAAGACGGTCGCTGGATGGAAGCCAGGAAACGGTCGTGGATGTCCGTTCTCACATTGTTGTTGCATGGCAGCTCCCCTGAACCATGGGCCTGGAGGAAATAGGCAGCACATGCAGACATCACAACTTGTCAGAAACGTCTCTCAAGGCGAGCATCTCTTTGATACTCCCCTCACGCCTTCCCGCCCCTTCTCCCACCACGACCGCCCCGCCCCTTGCCCGGCGGCGCCCTCATCTTCAACCCCTCGGGCAACTCCCCAACCTTCTCCCCGTCCCTCCAGAGCACACCCACCCCCGCCGTCTCGTCCCTCGCGCAAACCTCCCGGAACAGCCTCGTCGGGACCCTCCCCTCCTCGTCCCCCTCCGTCAGCACGACCCCGTTCTCGCTGACCCACCACTTCATCCCCTCGTCCCTCAGCGCCCTCTCGACGTCGACATACACCAGCACCTCGGCGTCCTTCCTCATGCCGCTCACGACGCCCTTGTCGTCCCCCGGCAGCCCCGTCGCGAAGTGAACGTGGTTCCGCCCCATCCTCTTCAGCCCGCCCGACTCTTCAATGGCCTTCCAGAACGCAAAGTACGTCCCGTGCACCACGACCTCGGGCACGTTGCCCGCCTCCAAGGTGATGGGCGTCAAAAGGGACGCGGAGTCGAGTTTGATGCTGTGGCCCTGGTTCGCGCGGATCAGCCAGTGCGAGGGCTCCGTCGAGGTCTCGTCCAGCGAGGGGTTCGTCGCGGCGTTGGGCTTGAGGGCGAAGCGCTGCTTGTCCGACGTGGTGACGGCGGCTTGGATGTCGGAAAAGGCTACCTGCAGGGATCGGATAGGACCGTAGGCCAGCTGTGGTGTTGTTAGCAGCCGTGTCGCTCTAGAGTTGTGTAGCTCATATGAGAGTGAGTATAAGAGAGGGTAATCCTCTACCCAGGCTCATCTCCTCTCCCGGCCAGGTCATCGCATGGAATGTTGGACACTCGTTCTCAGCTCACATCCCGTGTCAACCAACCCAGGGATGAGCATCAACCTGATTCAAGTAGAGATCCAAACTCACCACCTTGTCCAACGGCGCGTACCCGCCCTCATCAAGCTTCACTCCGGCGTTCTCAGCCTGGTGTCTCAAAAGCCTCGAAAGCGCCTTAGAAACCAACACCTCCCTCGGCTGTCCCCCACCGCCTCCCCCTCGTCCGCCACCCTTCCCGCCTCTACGTTCTCCCCTCTTCTGCGTCTTATCCTCAACCGCGGTCGCGGCCTCAACGGACTGATCGGCCATCTTGTCTCGTTTCGCGATAGACGAAGCCTGATGATGTGGAAATACCGAAAATGATCGGATTCGCTGCGCCGGCCAGAGTGATGAGAGATGCCGGGTAAGAAACGTCTCCTGCGCCGGGCTTCGCCTAGTTGCTGGCAGTAGCGGAGTGGCGTGCGTAACGTGTAAGTTTTGATACGGTGGTTTTCTGACCCGGTCAGGCGGGGAAGTTTTATATCGCTTCAAAATACAAGCAATGCCGGATTTCATGTGGTGAGTTTACAAGTATGGTGAGAGGACGCAGGCTGCAGCGATCCGTGGCCGTGTGAAGTCGGAGTTAGGTTGGGCTCAGGCCCGCCGAAAATTCTCGACTCGGTCAGTGGCTCTCTCAAACCAAAAAAACACCCCCTCTCAGCTGTCAACCTCACTCGCCGATGAGTCAAAATGGGCATGCTAGGAAACCGAACACGCACACATACAACCTGGCTTCGAGCTCCTTACTCAATCTCGCACAGAGCTTTTGAATCTCGGGACAGAGCGCTTGGCGATCGTGGGATGTCAACTGGCTAACAAACTTTGGCAAAAGTCAATTGTCGCGTCCGACCGCACACACTCTTCTCTTTAGTGAGCTCATAACCCTCATTTCATTTTGCAGACAAGCTAGCTAGCTAGGCCTACTCCATCCGATTCAATGGTCACATCAGAGGACCAGGAACATGATTGACAAAATTCGTCAGAGGCAATCCCAGGCCTCTGCCTATAACCTTTTCATTGACTGTTCGATATACAAATGCTCCAGCCTTCCCTAGTGCAGGCGAGTCCCACAAACCAATCGGCCGTCCGTCATCGATTGTCATACAAGTACAGAGTAACCGCTGCCGAACCCATGCGGTTGAAACATATGCCAAACAAGAATGACGCCCGCGTAAGAAAAGACATCTATGATACATTCATCCATGTGATTGTGATTCGTTAAGACGTTATCGATAGCTGCCAGATTGGGCAGCTGTCGATGAGTTCGTTATTGTGCTGTCGCGGTTGGGCCTGCGGCTGACACTGCTTGTCCGGTTCAGCAGCGACGTGTGGCTGAAGGAGAAGTGCCGCGGCTGCGCAACAGCCTGTTGCGGCCGTTCTTCGGTGGGTTTCTCGGCCGGGGAGAATTGTTCGCGCTCGGGGGTTCTCTCGAGATACCGGCGTGTTGCCAGCGATGGCGTAGATGGCGCGACAAGGCGAGATGTAAGCGACGATGCCCCGAATCGTCTGCGAGGGAGGGCGGAAGAAGCTGGCGATAACACTTCGTTCGGACTTGTCTGAGAGTGGTAGGTGTGGGAGGCGGCGCGAGCCGGTGTGGTGAGCTCCGTAGCAGCTCGTGAGGGGGCACGGAATCGAGACTCGTCGTCATCTTCTCCAACAGTACCCCGGCGTGACCGGAGCAGGGAGGTTTGACGGCCATTCTCGCGCGAGTCCTCGGGCTCCTCGGTGCCCGCTCGTCGGGTTCTCAAGAGCATCGAAGACCTCCGACCATCTTCGGGCTCCTCGGTAACCGCACGACGAGATCGGCCGATGAACAGAGATGACTTCCGGTGAGCCGTCTTGCTGCCGTCTCCTGGAGTGCTTGGGATTGTCCCAGGCGGTAGAGCAAATCTAGGGCTCGGCAGCGAGCTCGAGTTGAGCATGGTGCTGCGCCTCTCCTCATATTTGGACAAGGTTCTGGGGCTGGTGACGGCATTGGCATTTGGCTTTGGGAGGGTTGGCTGCTCCGAAGTTATACTAGAGCGTCGTTGAGCGGCTCCACCGGTAAACGTCTTGACAACCGTCGGGGTAGAAGGATTCGTCGTTTCCTTGGGGGTAGGTACGTTGACTTGGACAGTCCTGTTGCCGGCCGCTTCCTCACTCAGTGCCAGAACCAGCTCTGTCAGGCTTCGACAAATGCTGTCGGCCTTGCGTCGCAACTGGCGATCGGTCAAGTTCGTGCCAATGCCGATAGTGCTTGCACCGCTCGAAATGGGGCCCGGTTGACCTGCTGTGCCCATCATGTTGGCAAGTGCCAGCGCGTCCGTGGCAGCCACCTCAAGCGCTCGGGCTACTTCGTCACTAAGGAAGGGCTTTGATTTGCTGACAGCAGAGAGCAGGATGGGCTGCTGGGTTTCGCGTTGCGAAGATGTGGTGCTGACGGCATCATGCTGAGGATGGTTACTGCCCGGGGTTCGTTTCGGCGAAGTGGACATGGTGGTGTTGGTTGCGGTCGGCGGACGCTCATCCGAGGCTCGAGACATTGCGGCGCCGGAGGTTGCAGGCAGCTTGCCGGTCAATTCCAAGCGATGGATTCGCGACTTGAGATCGTCCAACTCGTCCCACACAGTCGAGGGTGCGTTCGTTGAGGCCGTTGCTGTCGACTCTGTGCCCTCAACCCCGTGACTAGTATCTTGTTGCGCTTCAGTACGCGGAGACTCGGTCGATTTCGGAACCAATGGCGAGGAATTGTATGTGCGTGTTTGGCCGTATGAGAGGTTCGATTGTCTATACGCCGAGTTACGAGCAGCGTAGCCGGTGTTGCTGTCGGTCAGCGAAGGTCGCCTCCGTGCATACGGCGAGTTCTCGCCCATCGGATCTTGAAAGGTGAAAGATCGGGACGTGCTGACGGTAGAGCGACTGGCCGAGTGGCCGGCAGAGTGGAAGGTCTTCGCGCGTCCAAGGTCCTCCGCGGGATGAACAGATGCTGGACGGTCTCGAGTCAGGGTTGATCGGTACGCCAACGCGCGTGCCATTGGGTCAGCAGCACTTTCGTCGTCTGGTTGTCGCACCCGCTTTTTCGAGGTCTCTTGCTGGTCGGAAAGGCGACGACTGATCTGGGGCGGGGAGACGGGATGATGATAAGACAATGGGACAGCTGCCGAGAGGGGTCGACGATGGGAGGACCTCGCGACACGGGCCTGTTGGTCATCGTCGGTCAGCTCACGGTCGTCCATGGCGAAACCCTGTAGGCATGTGTCCAGGACGCCAGGGTGGGCGTTGCAGGGACGGGAGAAATGAAGCAGCGCTAGAGGCGCTGGATCATCCGACCCAGGCGGGGAATTGAATGGGAAAGGACAAGAAGAGCGGGATGATCAACTAAAAATATGGAAGACGGCTTGATACCACGGCGAACAGACGCTGCCCCCATTGCAGGGCACGGCCGTTCGCATCGCGCTAACAGATTCCCGAAACAACAACGCGAATTCATGAAAGGTGGCTAAACTTACTATGGCACTTGGCTGTTCCACTGGCGCAACATCGCCAGAGCCACGACGTGTTGGCTCTTGCCTCGCGATTTTCATAAAGACGTCACCGGTGGTGTCGTCGGCCTCGGCGGACAGTGGCGGTGTCATTTGCGAGTAATCGTCGTCGCGTCTGCCTTCGAGTGCGCGCAAGGTGCGGTCGCGTTGGTTGGAATCGACGAATTCGTCGCCAAAGTCGAAAGACCGCATCGTAGAGGTACTGGTGTCGAGTCCCAGGCTTCGACGAGACCCGGATGATCGAAAGGAGCGGATAGGAGCCACGCGCACCGAGGTGGTCGAGGTGCTTGCGGCAGTAGGTTTGAAAGAAACGGGCGGTCGCGACGCTACCGATTTTCGTTTCTCATCTGTCGGACTCGAGTTCTGCAGGGTTTTTGGTAACAATAGTTCGCGCTGACCCTGGGCCCAGTCCTTGGTTGTCCTGTCGGCCGGGGATTGAGCGTCGTCGGTGGTGTCGGAGGGATGCGTGGGGTCAGTCTCTACAGGCGGTGACTTGGCGTCGGTCGCATTTGACTCGCGGGATCGAGATGCTGCGGCCCGTCGAGTTTGCAATCTGGTGGGAAGGGCAGATGTCTTGGATTCTGAGTCGTCGCTGTGGGGTGGAAAGGACTGCACGATGACAGGAGAGTCAGGATAAGAGGCGGGCCGCCTTGATGAAATGGCCGTGTTCGCAGGGATGGACTGGGAAACGGTCTGGTATGTCGATGCTCTGGACCGCGGACTGAGTTTGGGAGGCGACTCGGGCAGCTCGTGGATGGGGCTCGAAATTCGAGGTGAGAGCTGGGAGAGTTGGCGGCGGGAGGGGCGGCGATCGTGGCTCGGTCGGAGTGAAGTCGGTCGAGTGTCTTGTTGTTGTGGGCTGTTAGTGTCGGATTGAGCGTTGTTGTGTTGTGGTTGTCGATGTTGCTGCAAGTCTGACGTTGTTGGCAGGGTGGTGGGAGAGGCGGTGTCGGTAGCGGTGGTAATGCCAACGCCAATGTCAATGTCAGTGACGGTGCTGGCACTGGCACTGGCAGCAGATTGGGTTTCGTTGGAGACCGGATCGGATTTAGGCGAAACAGGCGAGGGCGGGATGTGCTGCAGCAGTGAGGGGAGCACTAGTCGTGGGGATTGGTGCTGCTTGTGTAAGTCGGCGAATCGAAAGGCTGGAAGTTTGGACGAGTTGTGGCTCAGTCGATGGGCGTGGTAGGGTGAAGAGGGCGAGGTTGCTGAGGATATGGCTGACGCTGAGGGAGTATGGAATGCGACAGCGCTTTGCGAGGGGAATGAGGATGAAAGAGACGCGGACGCGGACGCGGATGCGGATACCGGAGCAGAAGATGACAATGTGGGATTCAGAGTCGGGGCATGGCCCGCAAGTTCGAAACCACCTCCTGGTGCTGGTGCTGTTGTTGTTGCTGCTGTGGCCGTGGCCATGGTCGCGTCGGGGGGGTCCTCCCTGTGCTGGACTCACACTGTCTCTCAGTTAGGAAATCCAGGTCAGGATCCGCTTTCTCGTTCGCTTGAATTGCTGCGCCTGCGAGTTGGCCAGGGCTTGTCGGTTTTTTTTCCCCTTCGTTTTTCCTCGGTTTTTCCCCCCGTCTGTTTCCCGGGCCTGCACTGGAGGGGGGGCAGTCCTTTTCGCTGTCTGTCTCTGACTAACCCTGGTCCACTCAAGTCAAGGCCTGTCCTTTCGTTCTTTTGGGAATCCACCCGTCCAAAAGTTGAATCTCGGGTTCCCAGGGGCGCCGTGTGGTGTGTGCGTCTGCTGCAACTAGTCGTTCGTTGATGCACGTGTATCGTTATTTTCTATTCTTCAGGTCGTACCCAAAAGGTGGTTGCTTTTTTTGTGGACCTGCGATGCTGCAGATTTTGTGACTCGGGCGATGTTCGTTGCTTTTCTCCAGGGTACTCGTGGTCCAGTTTCCTAATTGCGTGAGGTTCTTCTCTCTCTATCTTGCTTCTTCCGATGTCGTTTCCTTGTTTTGTGTCTTTGCGCAATCCGCGGCCGTTGGGACGGGTCGTTGCTCTCGTTGATTAGGAATTAGCGGTTTCTGTGGCACAGGTCGTTTGTTGCGATCGTCCATCAGGTGTATGTTCAGGTGGTTTGTATTGGGCGTGTGCACGTCGGCGTTCTGCGGAAATGTCTTCGCTAGTCGTCGGGCGATTCGTGGGAATGGCGTGCGTATTAGTGAGACGGGATTATTGCGGTATTCGTGAGGGAGGGAACGGAAGCAAGCGTATTAGAGGCTGTCGTCGGACTGATCGAATCGAAGGGAATTCCAAGGAGCGGTGGTGGACGCCGGCGTTCTCGGTGCAATGGACAAGCCAGTTGTGACAGAGAGGAGAGGATGGGATAAAGAACGGCCGATGGAGAGAGAGAGGGGGGAGAGAGGGATCGGGAGGGCCGAGAAGGAGAGAGGGAAAGACTGGCAGCGTGAGAGCTTGGGGGATTAGTATTAAGAACGGGAGGAAGGAGCGTCGTGAACAGGTCCAAGTGCGGGCAGGAGGGTGTGGGTGTGGAAGCAAGCAAGCAACGGGCTCCTCGTCCGGTGTGTGTGGTTTTGCCTCAAGAGGGAAAGTCTGAGCCCGATGCAGCCAGTCGGGAATTATTGATGAGCAGAGAGAAGCAAGGAGAGTTACAGTCGTTTTTGGGGCAAGGCTGGACGGGGACTGGACGGCAAAGAAGAAGAAGATGGGACTGAAGCTAAAAAGGTAAAGAAGGAGGAAAGGAGAGAGTTAGTTGGTTGTGGTCGAGGATCGTCGACTTGTCCTTCCCACTCACCCCTCCTCGAGCCGTTGTCTTCTCTCCCAAGGTTCTTTTTCGATGGAGCAGCAGAGAGTTCCTCAGGTATCTCGCCGGTCACCGCACTTCTTGCTCCAGTTACACCTAAGCTCACGATTTGTGGTGCTTTCCGCCTCTCAGGTTCCAGTCGAGAGGGGGTACCTCTACTCTCGACCAGAGACTGCAAGTGGCCTGTGTACCTGTGCCATTTGATATTGCCTCGTCGTTTCGTTTGGGCGCCAGCATCCATCTCCCCATACATGCATGCATGCCTACGGAGCACGGTGCAGTTGCGCCGTCCCGGCCAGATGTGCCTTTTGGTTTCAACGGATACCTGCCCAAAGACCAATAAGCAACAGCGGTAACTTACCAACGTCCTCGCCGTTGTCTGTCTGTTCGCCGGTTGCTTCCCACTTCGACTTATACCGATACCTAGTCTAAACCAAAGCTCGTTTCGTGCCATCATCTGGCATTGCAAATGCCACCGCTCGCTCGAAACTCTTCGTTTAACCTTGCCTCAAGCTTCTTATGCTTCGCGCGACCTTACGTCCAGTCAGTCACCTTGGCCCATGTACCTCGACATCTGTCTGTACACTACACTACGCGCAAGAGGCCAGGCACATTTCACCTTGTCACAGTTCCACCGCACCCAAATTGGCTGGTCCTTGCCGACCACGCCCCGGCTCCTGACTGATGTCTATGCGGTCCAGCTGTGGTTCTCGCCTGACGACCCCCGGCCAGCAGGACCTGCACACCTGTCACCAACATCCACAGATACACCACCCAAAAGAGGCCAGTGGACGGATTCGTGGATACTCACAGCGGGCCGTGGTGCCCTCCCGCCACCTGTTCTGCACACATGTTCCCTCTGAACCTGGTCGTTGAGAGGGTCAAGGACCCAATCACCGCCTCACCGCTCTTGCTGTCGGCTCGTCGATCGCATCCGCCAGCCATGGCTTTTATCGTCGACGTCCTCGGACGCACAGAAATACAGACTTCAGTTCTCGTTATCGGACCACACAGCTCCCAGCCCGTCTGCCCGGCTATGTTGACACTATCGAGTCTACGCTGCGAACACACTGGACATCTCGCTCTCATCTCCTTGTCCCACACAAGATGTCGGGAGCTCGGGTCTCCTTCGCCGTTCAGGAAACAAAAAGGCCAAGGCCGTTTTGGTGGAGAAGCCACAGGGAAGTCCAGCACCTTAATCTGGACAAATGAGGTGCGAGGACAGGGGTCCGCGGCTGTCAGGCAATACGCCTTCAGGGGTCTTTTACGTCGCTTGCAACTCAACGATTCGAGGTGGCTGGCACGACTAAGTAGTCGGCCCAGTTGGAATAGGGGAGGGATGACTTATTGACCATTTCGACGCCATGCGCTACATCCTCGACCAAGCTGCCACCGATAGTCGCATTAGTGCTGGCGCGACGTCAGCTTTAAGGAAGCCAACGAGGTCACGGGCGTTTTACTCGTGCCTGTCTCAAACATGCAACACCGCTGCTACCGCGCTGTCACCTTTCACAGCATGAGCCTGGAGAATCAGTCCGACGGGATCAAGACGCCAGCCCTACTTATGAGCAAAGAGAAAAAACAGGCACAACATGGCGGGTGCAAGCCAGGGGATGTCGGCTGGCAAACTCTTTCTTCTTAGAGTGAGCAAGCAAGAGAACGACTCCGTAAGCAAAAACAAAGGGGCTGGGCTGGGTCCCTACCCTACCCTACATAGTACATCTGCACAGAGAAGGGCAAACCACGGGTGCCAGGAGAAATCCGGCAGCCCTTGAGTCGCCTAGGCCTGCCATCACGTCGACTCGGGAAAACGCGAGAAATAGTACAGCGGAATATCGGGCCCATCCATGCATACGTACGGGTGTAGAGGACGCGCGAGCTCCGCACGACTGGTCCCTTCCCATCAATCGTCGACAGACAGACAGCGGACCCAGCTGGTTGACAGCTGCCAGCTAAACCCGCCCCGTGTCGGTTTGCGCTCAGTGCTCCCCGTCCAATCTCTGTAGCCTCCAGACTATGTGGTCGGTACCAAAATGCAACCACACGGGACGAGGCTCGAGCTCTTCTCCTCAAAATCCACCTTGACAATGGCGCCGACCCGTCATTCTGCAGCTTTTTCAACCCTCGAGATCCGAGACCTGACATTGTCGTACAGGTACGCCAGAATGGAGCCAACAGCACATCAAGGAATGCAGACCCCCGGGTGTGCAGTCGCAAGGGGTCTGCAGGTCATCACCAGTAGCACGACTCCCACGTGCAGGGACGACTGAAACACCCGCCCTCATGTTATCTGCGCCAATAACCGACTGGATCTCGCTGTGGCGCCATCGCTGCTGGCCGATTGGGCATTTTCAGTAGCAGACGTCGTCTCTCTGACTTGCTGATGGCATGTCGAATTCGACGCATTGTCGTTGCCTTCCCTGCCGGAGCAGCCTCTATCACAATTCAACCTTGAATGTCGTATTTTTCTGCACTCATCCTAAGAGCGGAGACGCTAGTGACGCAGATCCCTTCCAAGCCGGCAGGCAGGATTAGGGCTGCTGGAATGAGATGTTGATGAGGTGCAGAACTCCCAGCCAGGCCCGTACGGCTTTGGACAAGAGACGCAACGGTCATGGCCGTGGACATCAAGCTGTCACTTCAAAGAATGAGGTGAGCCTGGGAAGGGGGCAGGCTAGGTAATCGGCAGATGGTCACCAATTGGCTTTCAGAAGCACAGCAGACATAACATGAATCGAGATGGCGTTTTACCCCTTTACCATGCTTGGGAAAAGCTGCCACCTCATATCAGTCTGTCGCAACGCGCACGGATGGTCCAACGTCCAAACCCAAAACATCAAAACTCGGAACACCGTCTCATCTGGAACGCCCGGCTCGAGACTTGTCAGCAACGGGAACGAAGGACGAGTCCATTGTGGAGTCCAGCTCGAGTCTTTTGAGAACAATAGGACGTTGTTCCCAAACCCCAAGCAGGGATGTCTGCAGCCGCACGGGCTCAGGGTTGCGACGGTTGCGCATCGCTAAGATGAACAGAGGACTTTCCCTCCTCGCGTTCTTTCACGTTCCCACGCACAGATGGAAGATCGGACATATAGCGTACTTCGGTCGCAATCCCCGGTGCCGCGTTGCGATCGACTTCGGCAAAGTGAGACTTTCGGGAGGCCGGGGTCCTCGGCCGACACGCTGAGGTTGGAATCGACGCTCAAAACTCTCCGGTAATCGTACCGGTGAACAGAACTCCATCCATAGCCTGGCAACTATATACCAGGGGCAAGCGCTTTGGTCCGAGGCGAAGCGTTCCAGCCGGAATTTCAATGGACCCCCGAGTCTGCGAAACGAAACATTTTCGGTCGCTCTGCCTCAACACCATTGGCCTCGAGTCGTGCATTTTCCATCGTGTCATTTGGACGAACCAGCAAAGTGTCGTCTACGGTTTGCATTGCAGACCATCCGAGTTAGTGTTCCCGAACTGCCTTCCTATTTCGTCGTCGTCAACATAACTAGGTCTGCACCTAACATGGCTTGCCATAGCGCCTATCCATGCGGATCGATCAACGCGGCTCTAGGCCAATGTCCGGCCGAGAAACCTGGCAGAACCCCGGAGTCATTTCGGGCATCGACTTGGCTCCGGATTGGCTTCGCC